AGAATTGAAATTAAAAATTAAATCACTTTTTAATGAATTTGTCACAACCTATTCAGAGATTATAGGTAAAAAAATCACTTAAATGAAGGCAGCCTATTTTTATATGGTCAAATATAAAATTCTTTAAAAAAATGTCACCGTTTTTATATGCAAAAATTCTTAAGAAAGATTTTAGCCTTGTCTCACCTATATTTTTTGTCGTACGCAAAAGAATTCGCTTACAATCTTAATTTTTATCAAACAAATAAGTGGAAAAAAATCCATTAAAAATAGGCAATTTTGTTAATTTCACATACAGATTATTGATCAACTTTAAAATGTTAATTTTTCTATAAAACTCTTTTTTTTAAAGTTAATTTTCTTAGGATCTACAGATATATTTTTTCAATTAATCGTCCTTAATTATGGTCAGTGAACAACCAGAACGATTTGCGTGGACTTTCAACCTTATTTTGCACAAACACAGCTGCTCGCTAAAGAGGAGTGTTGCTCTCTGTGAGGAGTGCAGGCGTCAAATTATTTTTCCAGCAGCAACTCTCACCCAGTCACTCATTCGCTCGCCGGGCAACTTGTTTGCCAAAATAATGGAGGCAATCTGCTGCCGCGAGAGAAGTATTTTGATGACGTTTCGCGATAAGGTGCGAAGCTAGTTAGTTATCAACGCCGCCGCGAAGAATAGAGACGCCAGACTCAATCAAAAATGCTGTTTATAAGTGGGTGGATTAATTTTACTCGCGCGGCTTTATTACGCACAGCGCGCCAGACCAGAGTGTGAAGCATCAAAAACGAGCGGCACGGAAGGTCGCGGCTGACAAGGCTCGCTTTTCAATGTGCTCGAGCGAGGGCTATTCAAAAGCTTGTTGCGAAAGGGAAGCGCAATATTTTACACAACGGCGGCGGCACAAAAATAAAATAATGTAGGGTGATTCAGTAATGGTGGAAAACTGCGGAGAATGCATAATATGTATACATTTTTGTATTTATTTTATTTCTACCTTGTATATTTACTAGATCGGAAACTAGTAGATCATGGACTTTAAATGAAGGAAATAATGTTGGAAAAAATTTAGCAAAAACTTGGTAAATTAATGCATTATGTGTTTTAAAATATATTTTGTTTTATAAAGAGAGAAGGAAGAAGGATTTTTATTGATTTTTTACTATATATTTATATTAAATATTTTGATTTACTACACTTTTTTTATTTCATATCTAACTTCTTTAATGAACTTGTAAATATAGAATTGGTGCAATCTTATATTTTAACTTTCTATACAAAACAAACAAAAAAAATTAATAATATTAGTCAAATTGATGTAAAGGTAGGATAATAGCTGGTGTTTCTTATGAAAATAGTTTATGCATTTCGTGTTTTGGATAAATTAAAAAGTAATTAAAATTATTAATGAATACACAACTGAATTTCAGTAAATTTTAGGATTGTGTCTGGATAACGTTATGTTGATCTGATTATCTCTGCACACGTATATAGATTTGAAATTTGCATTCTCTATGTCAAGTTGCTTCCTGTTGGAATTCGCGAAAATGGTGCGCGGCGCCGGGCGACCCAGTTTTTATGTTGCGGTGTCAAAACGGTCGCGATCGCCCGACAAAGGTAAACATAACAATAGCGATGATCAGAGAAAGGTGGGATCAATCAGGAAGTGAGATTGGGCGTCGCTCTCGATCGTTTTATTGAAGCGCCGGCCGCGATCGACTCTATGCTCTGAAACTACATCGCTGGCCGTGAATGCAATTAAATGAGAAAGATGATCGCGACTCCCCTTGCATGCAACACAGTCATAAAATAACACTCATAACAAAAGCATTGGCTGAATCGATTTCAAGCCAGTTAAGTCTGCACAATTTGTCAGTTGCGAGCACAGAAATTAAAAAAAAAATACTTAAAAGTTTAAAATTAAATTAGATAAAATTAAATAAAATTTGAAATTTCAGGAAAGTTTAATAACTGAATTAATAGCCAAAAAATTGCTCACATGTTTTCTCAATTAAAATTCAAAACATAATAAATCTTACAACATTTCTTAAACGTTACTTTTCTCACGTGTGCAGTATTTTGGAAATTTTCGCAATTTGTACAGTAAGTCGGTGCGAGCGAGAGCAGTACCACTTTTTCATTAATTAGCAAGTATCCTTTTTGGGATAAAAGGAAGTACTGCTCTCTGTGCGCGCTCATTGCATTCCGCAAATTATTATAATTCTTATCTAGTTGCCTTGCTTTGAAGCGATCGCGCGCCGCAGCTCGAGATATTTTTTTCCAAACCGACTTTTTCCTGGAAACTGGAGGCGAAGAGAATTTTATGGCTCGTAAAATCTCGAAAGCCGAAAATGCAACAATCAACATTCCCGCGGTGCCCAAATTAATTTGATTCGCGTCATGCATATTCAGCGCGTGTGTGTGTGCAAAAGACTTCTTGTCTCACGCGGCGATATACGCGCGCATTTATATGCATAAGTGAGTAATTCGCGGGCGCACATAAAAAAGTCGTAAAACGATGATTAAGATGTAGAAATTAATCCTTTTATCGTACAAATAGTATAGCAGCCGCAGAGAGAGAGCGAGAGATGAATAAAACAGGTGAGTGACGAGATGGAGGGGCAATTTAAAGGGACCCAGACAAATACATTTAAAAACGCTCGCTTGTACTCCATCCTCAATATGAGAACCCACAAATCAGCAAAATTCCTCCTTAAAAAAATTACTATTATTTAATTAACTATCAAATGTGTAGGAGTTTGATAAAAATTTAATTATTTAAGCTTGTTGTCTTTTTTAAGTCAGTATCGAACATTTATTGATAAATAAGTTTTTATATTAAAATTGAATACAAGACTGATTTAAAGTTTACGTAGCAAAGTTTTAAACTAGAGATGGAGGAAAATATACTTTTTCGACCAATTTTTTTCAAAATTTTGCCTTAATTAATAATACTAATTCATTTTTAGAGAAGACTTAATTTGCAAATAAATTGTTTCTTTGATAATTAAATCTCAACCGATCAATATTATATTGCTGCACTAGAGCAATAAAAAATTATCTTTCACTCGAGATGGTGCATGATGATGATGAGCAGCCGTAGAAGGTGAAATTATCATTATACACTAACTTTAATACCACACACGTTGTGCTCCGGCGAGAAAAGGGTCCGTGCTCTGCTCTTGCTCTTTCGCATACACGCTGTGTGTCTTATTATGATTGCATACGGACAGCTTTATGATCATTTGTCATACCAGGGTGTGGTGTCATTTCCACCTTCGCAATTTATAATCCGCTCTTTTTCAGGCCTCGCTTTCATACAATACACATACGCGCGAAATTGATTTAAAATATATCGCGCTGACTGAATAAGTGGCTTATTAAGTCATACTTTAAAAATAAAAAAGTCCCCTGGCGAACGTGCTCTCGAGCTGCATTCTTCTGCCTCTCTTCTGCAGCTCGTCTCACATAGTTGCTAATTTATAAACCGAATGAGTGTATTTACGAGGGAGAGAGACGATTTTCGCTCTCTGCAATAATTATAATTGCCCTTTCCACTTACGCCTGCCGATTGATTTGCGACGAAAAGCGCTTAGGATTTTTGCCCGCCTGCGCGTAATAATTAAATGCGGACACAAAATTGTTCCCTCCAGTGCCGCGGTGCGCGGTTTTTGCGCTTTGCAGTTTTCGTTTATTGCCTCGTCACGTCTTTGAAAAGCAAATCCATTTGTGTACCGACAGTTATACATTTGCGGAAAAGGTTACAGTTCTTTTTTTTTTTAATATTATCAGAATTCACTTTAAGGGAAACAAGTTTATAGATCGATTGGGTTTAAAATGTGTCATGTGTACAAAAGTTGGCGCTTTATATTTTTTATTTTCTTGTTAATGACGGCGCAATAAAAGTGGCGCGACGCCGGCTCTTCCATTTTCCGAGTAATTAAGTGTTTAGCGCCAATTAACACCTTGTTTAAGAAGCAAAGCGGCGCGGCAATTAAGAAAATAGTAATTAAAAAAGCGCAGCGCCGCTCCACCGCCGAAACGAGTTTGGACCTTAATAAGGTGGAATGCCAGGTATTGGGGGAAAAGTTTATTAAATCATTATCGAGCAGAAGGCGCTAATGATAATAAGCTGTCGTGATAAAACGCACGTGTCGTATTGTTTCCAGAAGACGTACGTTATTATTTGCAAATCAATAGTGCAATTGAAATTAGTATTGAGATAATAATTCTAATCGATTAAAGTAAGTGCAAAAATTGTTATAGGCAATACAAATAAAACGGGGATCGAAATGAAAAGTACATAAATGTTGATCGGCAAATTTGGTCACGATTTTAACCTTGTGATAAAGAATTGATGATGGAGAGATATAAGATTGAGAAGTAAATTAAATTCCTTTTGAATTGGACTTTAGCCAGCTACATCAAATTTAATTCGTGGAATTGTGATCAAAGTTTCATCTGAAAGCATCATCGCTTGAGTGCCCCGGGTTTTAATATAACTTTGTCAGTTCCTCACAATTCCCTTTTAGAATTTGCTTAAAAATTTGTTTTAAAAGGAAAAAATTAAATACAACCTCATCGATAAAACCCCGAAACTTATTAGTCACACAATCTCCGTAAATTTTTTCAATTAAGATAAACAAAAGAGCACATCTGGGAAGTGCATAATCGGGCCTTGGATGCAATTAAGTCAGAACAGTCTGTCCGCTGAAATTCCACGCGGTGTGCTCTTAACATCTTTGATGAACAACAAGATTAGGAACGGCGCCGATGATAACACGGACCGACACAACAATTGAACTATTTTTCCAATTGTGTGTTTGCTGCACGAGGAATGCATTAATAAGGTAAACTTGCAATTTTGGGCCAGTGTCTTAATTTTTTTTTCAGTTAGCACGGTTGTTTGGAGGTTCGGATGAATTTTGAGCAAGGATTTGGGCCGCAGGTTAAAATAAAAAATGATTTAAAACTAAAATATAAACTTTCAGAGATTACTCACCACAGGTGCGACAGAGGACCCTGTCGACGGCATCCTCGTGACGTTTGGTGGCGGGCAGCGGCGGCGCCAACGGGCGGAATTGGTGCTGCGACGCGCGGTCGGCGAACACGAGGTACGTGGAGTTGACGTCGACGAGGGCGGCAACAGCACCGTGTCTGCAGGCGGCGCCGGCGTTGGGCGCCGCGAGCTGGAGGCGCCGCCGCCGCTTCTTGGGCGTGGGGTGCGCGAAGCCCTTCAAGGGCTGCACGATGAGGAAGGAGGCCTCGTAGAGACCGCGGGCGTCAACCGGCGTTCGGCTCTTGACGAGGCCCTTGAAGACGACCGGCGACAGGAAGGCCTTGGCGCCGGCGTCTTCGAACTGCAGCACGCGGCTCTGCTTGGCCGAACACGCGAAGAGCAGCGGCGTCGTCGCCGTTGCCGCGTCAACGCCAACCGTCACCAGCATCAACACCACTAACAACAACCTGCACCACCACACTTTCTCCGTCCTGCCGGCCGCCTCACCGGGCGACGGCTTCATCTCTGCTGCTGCGACTTGTCTTATCACCGCTCGCGGGCCGCTCACCAGCTTCGCCATCCGACCGGCGACGACCCGAGTCTTGGACCAGCACGCAGGACGACGTTCACCGGCTGCTGCTTCCCAGCTGCATCGACGTCGCTCGGGGTCATGCTTGAGAATGCGCCCTTTTTCCGTTTTTCTCGTTCCTGTCTATGATAATTTTTTTATGTAAAAAATGTTGACTCCAGTTATGTATATGAGGATGAAGAGTTGATGTTGGTGTAGTTCGGTATTGGCTCCGCCGCGCGCACGCTACGATCACGCCGGAGTTTCAGCTACTACTAATACTACAAAACTCACACACACACTCTCATCCACTCCTCTAGCAGCCAGCAGGCGGCCCCTCTTTCTTTTTCACGCAGAGGGCTCGCTGCTCTACCACTCTCTCGCGGCGGCCGCGCGCGCTCGGTGGTGCCGATGGTGGTGGTAGTAGCTCCCGGCCGGCGCGCAGAGAAATAAACCATCCATAACACACACTACTCACGGTCTAGACTGACACGCGGACTCGCTTTTCGTTTTAGGTTCTTCTCTATTCCCCAGCAGCACGACGACAGTGGACCAGAAAAAATAAAAATATGTTTCGAAAACGAGTTTCGTTTTCCGGCGCCAAAGTGCTGCGAATTCGTAAATTTGTTCGCTGCCGCATTTGCTCCCCCTTGCTTGGAATTTAATGGACTTTTTAGAAATTATTGATACACTTGAAAAAAATTATTTGTCCTTTTAATTACATTCTCGTGTTATTCTTATCGAAAGTCCAACTAACAATAAGGTTCATTTCCCTTGTTAATGCTCAAATATTTCAGCATGCAGATAAAGAAAAATACACAACTGACTTTGCATTGAACTTGATTTGCTTATTTACAAAAATACGCACAGCAAAATGCTTGTAATGCGACTGAGGAATATATTATTAATAACTTCATTAATGGTAAAAATTTTCATAACATAATATTTAGAAAGGAGAATTACTGACATTAATTAAATAATTAACAAACAAAAAACTTTGGACAATTGAGTTACACACAAACTTTTTCTGTGTCGCTTTAGTTATTTTTTTAATAAATTTTTAGTGATTAGTTGGAAATAAGATAATATTGTACATATATCATTCATTTTTTTATTTTTTATTATTCTCTCATATCTCTTCCTCTTTTTTTTTAAATCAAATTTTGCTGCGGAATATTCTATCACACAGACATTAGGTAATATTATCATAATTCAAATATTCTGTACCTTTCAAGTGAATCTGATCATAAAATTTGTTTTACTGACTTTTGAGGAAATAATATTATTTGTATTTTTGCCCTTAAATAAGCAGGTTAAAAATAATAAATGGCTGTGCTTTTTTCAAGCATACTTAAGTTTTGAGATATATCCAAAATCAACTCGAATTGTACAGATTTTTTTTAAAGTGCAAATTGAGGAACGAATAACAGAAAATTGAAAGAAAAATGCTTTTAATTTTAAATTGAAGAATCTTTTATCTTCCTAAATAGTAGAAAATCGGAGTGTGTTCAAGTGGGTTTGGGGAAAATATTTTACTATAACAATAAATTAATCAAAAACATCACCCTTCAATATTTAATTAAGGTTATAGAAAATCGGTTGATCATATTTATACGATTCCCTTTTCTTAATCATGGTTTCATTATACTTTTTGGATAGCAAATTCAAAACCATACAAACACAAATGAAGATGCACATTATCTGGACATGATTTTGACAAATTTCTGCAGAGCTTTACATTCTTGCCAACAGCTTTTCCTAATCGCTGAACAGGTTGCCTACCTGCACCCTGAAATGACAGAAATATTTTTTTGTTGGAACGAATATTATTCTGACCAGGACAAAAGGCAAGAGTGACAGAAACTGTAACTCATATCAGCGAGTGAGTCTCGCGGTTCAACGCACGCAGGGGGATTTTGGACCGGGAAAGAAAACAATCGGAATGACAGCATTTTTGTTTCGCATGTGCAGTACTGTTATTATATAAATATTCCAGCGCGCCAGAGAGGAGATGATGGGCGACACATTTTTAATCCTGTTTTAATGACACATTGTTTCGCCGGCGAAAGAGGTCGAAAATAATAGCAGCCCGCACAACAATGCCCGCGCGTCCGAAAATCCATGGGCGTGTTGTGGAAAATATTCAAATTGAGAGTGAGAGAAAGAGACGCACAAAATATTTCCAGCATCATTACTCTCTGCGCTGCACGGTGAATATTATTATATATAGCAGCACCGCAACCATGGGGAGCGATGCAAATATTGACGAGTTATCCGATGACGCTTCAGCAAACAATAAAATATTCGACCCGTGGCGCCTGATATCTCGCTCGGCTTATCAAAACGCCACTCTTGCTGCGAAAATTGTACACATAATTGATTCTCAGAAGTAAAGCCGAGTGCGGCTTTGCTTAAGAGATAATCTACGACCTGTCATGCAGAAATTAGTGCACTTTAATTTAAATCATTCTTTTGACAATGTCCTGATTGCCGATTACTTTGATTATTCCTACGCCAAGCAATTAATTAAAAAATTGCAAAATTTAAAACGATTTGTAGTTTATCAGCTGAAGATTACACCATAAAATGAACAATATAAAATGGAAATTAATTTTTATAAACTTTATATTTGCCAAAATTCAAATACTTAGAATGTATATTAAGAAAATCAATGTGTGCAAGAGCTAAAGAGCCTATAAGATGGCTAATAAAAGTTGCTCAAAACTAAATGCATTTATTTCTTTAATGAGTTGTCGATTGTTATGATAATTTTAAAGTTTTTGAGCCACTTTAAGTCACGTATTAATAGAAAAATATTATTATGATTACCTCAAACGCCTTCCTTTACTTAAAAAGCAACGCGATCTTCAACATTTTTCATCATATCACCTGAAATTAAAAATAAATAAAATTTTCACCATCAATTATATCCAATAAGAGAGGAAAAGCATGATCTACATGATAATAAGCAAGAAATAACATTGTTATAATCAACTCTGGAGCAGCTGTGGAGAAATAAATTTTGATTGAAACGGCAAATTACACTAAAAAGTATTTTTAAATTTTAAATACAGACAAATAAAAATTATTTTCCTACTTTATTTTATAAGAAACTATTACAATATAAAAATTATATAGAATTTTGCTGTACATATTTTTTTTTCTTTTTGTTATACGACATTTTTTTTAAACAGTTTTTTAAGTTTGCTTAATATAATTCTTTTGTATTCAATTTTATAAAACAATTTTTATAACATATTTTTCAATAGTATTAATATTGTATCGATCATGGCTTTAATATCTCTTAAAGTAATGTACTTAATAGATTGGGACTCGTGTCAGCGGAAACATTGTCTGTTTAATATAACTTAACAATAATGTCTAAATCACATTAAAATAACTTAAAATAAATTTGAATAATTAGTAATTAAAATTTTCCAATCCCACACATATTTATTATTGATTGAATACGCAATAGAAAAATAAATATACAAGTTTTTTCGCGACATTTTCACGCTTGAACGTTAGGAAAGGTTTTGCAAAGTACAGAATAATTTTTGCAGGCTGCTCCGAGAGCATCTCATTTGCAAAGGTCATTGCATCCGGCCGCGCCAAGTGTAGCCAAACACGCGCGAAAATAAATAAGCGCGCAGAGATCAAGCTAGTGCGGAGAACAAGTCTGATGCAAAGTTTGGCCTGTCAGAGCACATAAATTCAATAACAATGGCACAAGGAGAGATTTTTGAAGCGGGCAGATTCGCTGCGTGTAGGTGCTCTCTTTATGTAGGTGACGATGCATGCGAGCCAAATGAATAATATCATCATCCGTCGCGCGCATTCATCTACGCCCATGGACGAGCGGATGGATGGATGCTGCGAGAGAGCCTCGCGCACCGACACATTCAGTCGTACTAACACAATGAGCGTGTGTGTGTGTTGCCATTATAAACCAATGTTGATGACCTCGAATTGTCATGATTAGACCTATTATTATAATATGTGGAACTATTTGCCCTTTACAGAAAGAAAGAAAGAAAAGTGCGTCATCGCTCTCCGAGAATTGAGAGAGAAAATCTTTGCCTATGTTTGGTCAATTATCTTTTTCTTCACACTTTTTTCATCTGCATTTTTTGTAATTTTTAAATTATTTAAAGAATACATAATGCAAATTTGATTTTAAACTATGTTAAATCATGTTTGTTTTTTATGAAATATTTAATATATTTATGAATTTTGGATTTTTAAATGACTTTTCTATATTAATGTTAATTTAATTGATTTAATGACAAATTTGTCGCAGCTTTCAAATATGATTGGATTTAAAAAAAAAAATAGTCAGCTGAAGTTATTAGCCAAGTTCTGCTTATTCAAACGTGTGCAGGACCAATTCAAATTAAAGGGAGATAATATTATAATTGGAATTATCATTATTTCTAGCAATTATGTTTCTTAAAATCAATGATTATTATCTAAAATATTCTGCTGAGGTGAATTCAATCGGTTTTAACACACTTTTTAATAATCACCTTATAATCATTAAATTGCAATTGCATTGTGGGAGTTTTTATTTTACGCTATTTTTTATTTGAAAAATATAAAATATCCGGATCAAAATGTGCGAAAATGGCTATTTTTACTACTGTTAATTTTTATCAATATTAACTTCAACAAATTTGTCATTTAATTTAATTTATTTACATAAAAGTATAAAACTATTACAAGCAAACGTCGATGTAAACGGTTTGTTGCATGAAAAACAAAGCGATGCGAAATTGGCAATGCTTCTTATTTATTTACTTTAATTTCCTTTATCGGAATGCCGACGCTAATTCCTCGGTAATTGTTTTTACATCATGAAATTGATACTCCATATAAAATGTACTTTGTACAACATAAAATATACACACCGCCGTGCAGTCGTTTCAAATGAGAGAAGGCAAAGGCTCGCAAGGAATGCTGGAATTCTCGCACATTTACATACAAACGTGTACGCATTATGTATAGAGAGAGAGAGAATAAAGAGAAGGCAAAAAACGACGACCACAAGCGACAGAGAGTTGCCACGGTTTAATGTAACAAATAAACTTGGCGCACGCATTCGATGTGCGAGCTGAGCAACAATTATACAGTGAGAAAGAGAAAAATATTGGCCGCATATGCACAAGTTGGCCAATAATGCCGTACATGAAAAATTTTATCCAGGAAGCAGTCATTTTAGTTTAACGGTTATAGAGGGAATATTTCGCTCAGTTCACTTCTGTTAAAAGGGTGCAATTAACAATTTTAGTTTCCGTAGTTAACCTAAAATTAAAATTATGAC